CCTCTCTCCTCACCTCTTCACCTCCTCCTCTCCTCCTCTCCTCCTCTCCTCTCTCCTCCTCTCTCCTCACCTCTCTCCTCTCTCCTCCTCTCCTCCTCTCCTCTCTCCTCCTCTCCTCCTCTCCTCTCTCCTCCTCTCCTCACCTCCTCTCCTCACCCTCAGAGATCCAGATTCTTGGACTCTCTCTCTCAGTCTTGTTTTTCAGTTTGTTTCAGGTTTTCAGTTTGGAGGAGAAAGGTAAACTTAGTCAAACTAGACTAGTTTAGTTTAGACTAGTTTAGTTAAATCTAGTTGAATCTAGATTAGAGGGAACTAGAGCCCCCCCCCCCCCCCCCGAACACACGTCAGTAGATTCTAGTTTATCTTTTACTCTACCAGAGGCTCTAACGTGGTTAAACCAGGTTCAACTACCGTTAACTTGAGTTAAACTCGGCTTCACTCTGGTTTAATAAGATGATAATTGAGCGGAACCAGAAACCAGCCGGTACATGAGAACGTCGTTAGTTATCTACGTGACTCTCGATGGATCGAACTCTCGTGAAACTTGATGTTAAAGCTCGTTGTTTTGTTTTCAGTCGTCAACGTCATCAGAAGAAGACGAGAGATTAATCCTGAACAACACTCGACCTCTGACCCCGCTGGTCCTGAACCCCGTCCATGTCACCTCCCGCTGGGACGTCTTTTCCCCCGACAACGAGCCAACAACCTATCTTGAGATGGAGTCAACATCTCGGCTTCCGACGCCGGAGGAGAGGATGAGGCAGCAGGCGGACGCCGTTCCCGCTGATATCGTCGCCATTGACATAACAGGTAGAGGCGGGAGATCCAGACTCTACCACTGACACAATCTGTCCTCTCAAAATAAAATAAGACGTTTCTTCTTCCTTTCTTCAGGCGAGAGTTTTGATCGTCAGGCCAGTTTTCGAAGAACCGCGTCCAACGGCGACTCGTTAACACGCCGACCCCGAAACCTGAGCCGCCGCAAGACTGTAACAGGGATACCTGATGATGTCAGCAATATGCTGGGTATAAGCTCCACCCTCTCACTCCTGCGTCACATCTGCTGTCAATCACTCCATCAATGAAAGTCTGAGTTTCTCCTCCTGTCTCCAGACTCGTCTACGGCGTCCTCTGTCCTTCCTGGTCAGTTCTCTCCCGTGGCTCGACCTGCGTCCTCCTGTGGCCCCGCCCACCAGCAGGAGGAGGAGACAGAGAAAAACAGGAAGGATTCAGCAGTGCGAAGGATCCGGGCCCCGAGAGGAGAGGGGATGTCCAGCCTCATGGCGTCCCTCACCTCCTCCCCCTCCCCCTCATCCAGGCCTCTCCCCCGTCTGGCAACCGACTCCTCTCTGAACTCTGCGGCCAGCTGTAACAGCGCCTCCTGCAGGACGCTCAGTGCCTCCTCGTCTTGCTGCCAGGTCAGTTTATCAGAAATGATTCGCACATTTAAAAACATCTGAAAACATCTAAAAGGAACTGATTGTTTTTCTGTCTCAGGATCTACAGGGTTTCCCCAGCGACGTCCAGCCTCTGCTGCTCTTTGACCCCCCATCCAGATTCATCCCACAGTCCATCTCCTCACCCTCTTCTGTTCCGTCCTCCCCCGTCTCCTCCTCTCTTCCCAGCTCTCCCAGCTGTCCCTTGGCACCAGAGTGGTTGTACCCCAGCGACGAGCCACTGAACGAGGCTCCTCATGTCTCTCCTTCCTCCTCCCACTACCTCTCCTCCTCCTCCATCACACACTCAGAGTTCAGTTACCAGGCTCTGGACGTCCTCAGCGGTCAAACGGGGGACGAGTGGACTGACGTCGGCCAGGAGACGAGATGTGTTTCTGGGGAAGGCTGGAGCTGTGACCCCCTCCTGTCCTCTGGTCGCTCGTCTCCAGCGTGTTCAGAGAGAACAACGTGCTCGCCGCTGTTAAACTGCCAGAAGAGGAAGTCCAGCACTTCCTCCTCAAATTCTCGCTCTATCACCCACAGCATCTCCCTCCGCAAGCCCAAGCTCCCGCCTCCCCCGCCATTACGTTCTGACTCTCTGCGGCGCCGGCCGGGTCGCAGTAAATCGTACCGCTCCTTGTCCAGTCCTCGGCAGCCGTGCAGTCCCCACCAGGAGTCAGCTGCCCAGAGGACGTCCACCTCCCCCCCACAGAGCTACCACGACCCCTGGGTTCCCCGTAGTCACACCAAAAGGCGTCAGGGCGGACTGAGCTGTGGGACGGTCACGACCTTTGAACCATCAAACCTCCAGGCCGCCTCCCCTCCTCCCAGCCCCACGCACGTCCACGCCCCCGGGTCTCCAGGCTCAGAGGAGGAGGGGCTTAGATTAACTCTCAACCCTCAGACAGTTGCTTCCTCTGGTCTGAAGCGACTTGCTTCGCCCTCTAGTGGATACTCCAGCCAGTCCAACACCCCCATACCTGGCACACCTGTGTCCTCCCCCCACTCCCCCTCCTCCCCTCTCACAGTGAGTCCTGGAGCCTTCTCCCTCCCCTCGACCTCCCCCTCCTCCTCCTTTCCCCTGTCGCCGGCCGTCTCCTTACAGACCAGGAAGGAAGGAAGGCCAAAACCTCCCGTACCGGAGAGGAAGTCGTCACTCTTTTCCTCCCTCTCCTCCTCCTTTTCTTCCACTTCCTCCCTCTCTTCCTACACTTCCTCCGAGTCGTCTGCCAAACATCTTCTCCTCCCTCCTCCCCCGCCTCCTCTCCCAGAATCCTCTTCGCTTTCACCCCCTCTCATCTTCTCCCCCTTTTGTCAGTCTGCTCCCCTCTATCACTCCCCACCTGCTCCTCCTCCTCCACCTCCCCCTCCTCCTCCACCTCTTCCTCCTTCCTCCCGTCCCCCCCCCCCGCCCTACTCCTACGCTGTCCGGCAGACGCCTCACCAAGCTCTCGTGTTCTCGTCATCGTCACCAAACTTCTCTTCTCCTCCGCCTCCCCCTCCTCCCCCACCTCCCCCTCCTCCTCTCCCCACAGCCCCTTTGACCCCCCTCCCCCCAACAACCCTTATCAAGTCCCAGAACAGTTGTGTCAACATGGCCACACCCACTTGTCCCCTGGTCACCGCCCAGGCTCTGCAGGGGCTCAAGCTTCGCTCCGTCAGGTCCCAGGCCGCCTTGCTAAGTAGCACTGTGCTAGCCAATGCTAATAGGGCTCATGCTAACCAACCAAGCAAAGATCCTCCACTAGACAGTTCTGTGCTAGCCGATGTTAGCTTAGCTAACACTGACGCGAAGCTAGCTGAGAACGGATCACAATGCACTGTTTCTAACCTTCGTAATAATGAAGCCAAGGGAACTGAAGATTTTACAGCTCGTGCTAATCTTGATAGCTTGGCTAATGCTGATGTTAAGCTAGCTGGGAATGGACCACAAAATGTTGTCTATAAAATTGGTAGCAATGACACTAAAACACCCAGTTCATTCCTGGCTAATGCTAGCACACCTAGCCCAGCGAACACTCAATCAGATCGTGATAACTTCAGCCAAACAAAAACTGAGACGATTACACTCAACAACTCAGCGTTCACTCGTCTTCAGGACACACAAGGTTTTGTTTGCAGCACCGCGGCTAATCAGAGAAGCTGTGGGCCTCAGGTGACCACTGCTCAAGACGTCCTGACCAATGAGAGGAGAGATTCAGACCTGTACGCGACGCTAACTAACAATCAAGTCCCCAGTCCGGATAGTCCCTGGGTCAAGATTTCTCATGGTACCAGCAAAAACCCCATCCACTTAATTACCCAGCTTCCTATAGATGCTAAGCTAAGTGAGCCTGGAGAGAAACAAGGAAACATTGAAGATTCTTCTTCCCGTTCTCCGTCACAAACAAAACAAGAGTCTCACAGAGGAACAACGTCAGAGAGGAAGGATGTCGCTCAGAATAATCCAGACGTGTTGAACCACAGAGCCGATGGAGATTCAACAGAACATCGTGATTTAAAACTGAGAAATAACGTCTTGGAGATAAGAAGCACACAGGAGCTCAGGTCCCCGGAGAAGCCGGTGCTGTGGAAGAAGTCTGACCTTTGCATTCTGGGTGTCATGGCGTCTCCTGAAGCCCGACGAGGACCGGGTGGACGAATCACCTTGTCTTCTTCTGGACTCGATAAACAACAACAACAGCAGCAGCTTCCTTCTGGCGCAGCTTCACCAAAACACTTTATATACACAACTGACGAAACAACAACTCTTGAAGAATTGTTGACACATACAACTAACGCAGCTTCTGGTGACATCACTGCATGCTCACCTGTCTGCTCCCCCCCGAGGCAGAAACCACCGATCCTACACAAGAAACCAGATGTTTCATCGACGTCATCCAGAACAACAAAACCACTTTGTGCATCTAAAAGTATGACGGAGTCGTCTGAAGGAACGTCTGAGACCTGTGGCTCTAGAAACACGTTCAATGGGACCATGAGCACCGTGGAAAACAATGGTACCTCAGGAACGTGGAGAATCATGGAGTCGTCAGGACCTCCGGCCCGGACCGGAGCAACGGACCCATGTTGTGCTTGGATCGCGAGGACGAGACTTGACGAGGACGAGAAAACGGTTCACAAGAGGATGATGAGGTCGTCGCTAGTTGAAGATGAAGAGGAGGATCCGAAGGTGGAGGAGAGAGTGATGAAGACGATGATGATGACGTCCCCCACGAAGAAAAAAGTAAGGAAGAGGAGGAGGAGGAGGATGGGCGGGCAACTGCTGATGATGTCATCAACAAGGAAGCCGTCCCCCTCGTCATCTTCATCCTCATCATCATCATCTTCATCCTCGTCTGGAGATGAAGATGTGATGAGAGAGGGAACAATACAAACAAGTGAAGAGGTGTCCTGTGCTCTGATTGGTCAGAGCAGGTACTGCCTCAGTAGTGCACTGTCCACTGACAGCCTGCAGGGGGAGCTGTCACTTCCAGACCTCCTGATACAGGAACCAGAGGAGATGAAGGAGGGAGCGGAGGACAGACGACCTCCGGACGGTGAGAACAGTGACTTCATTTTAAATTCAAGATAAACTCAAGAGAGAAGTCGAAGTAAGTTTGACCTCATGTTCGTCCATCTTTGTTTTTGTGTGCAGCTGATTTGTTCGTCAGTGTTTCAGCAGATCAGATGTTCGTCTCTGCTCGACCTCGAACCACCGAGGATCTGTTCACCGTCATCCACAGGTAGGACAACACTCGGCACACTTCTCATGTCCCAACAAGTCCACCGTGTTCTCACCAGTCTGCTTGCTTCTCCCTCTGCCGCTGTGGAGCAGTGCATTATGGGAAGGCACAGCGTGAAGGCCTTGGTGGGCGGGGTTTGGCAGCAGGTAAAAATGTGATTGGTCACTGAAGGTGTAGTTGATGGAGTTAAGCTCGTGACCATGGTAGAGTTCGTGAAATTAGCACCCAGTTATCGTCATTAGCTTTTTCTTCTTCTGAAACTAGAACCTGTAGGAATCCTCTCGTCTCCTGAAATCCTCTTTCACCTCCTTGTTTTTAGATTCCAGTGTTTTTTCTTC